AAATAGCCTACACTTTAACAATGGGCAGTTCTACAGACGGGGCCACAGGGGCACTGGCCCAAGCTGAAATCTGACTGAATCCCTGACGAACCCCTGTCCTCATCAACATCTCCTTATGGTTCCTTCCCCTCACTCGCTTTAAGACCCGTGGTGACCATGCCTTCTCCTCTGTGGCCCCCAGGCTCTGGACTGAACTCCCATTTAATCTGTGCTCCATTGATAACATTGTCTCTTTCAAGACACTTCTAAAAACTCACTTTTTTTCTCAAGTGTTTAGCTAATCATTTCACCATTACTGCCAGCCTACCTCCATTGTGAATGCTTCGCTAATCTGTTTTCTTTACCATTGAATTTACGCCATATTTTCTCTCCCGCTTTCATTGTGTTTTTGTGTATTATTGTATATTTTGACCTGCGTTGACCTTGTGTTTGATTTACAATTTTAGAAATGAATTCCTGATTTGATGTTTCAATTTTCGTTGCTTATGTATAATTATGTTTTTCTGTTTCATTTTATTCTTTTCACCATTTTTATACTGTTAACGATTGTACAGCACCTTGTGAATATATTTCAGTTTGTCCTTTGCCCGAGAGTGATGGTGTAGTTCCATGTGCAAACACTAGAGGCGCTAATGAGTCAAAATAGGAAGGTCTAGCATGAATCAAGCTTACAGAAATATTCTTCTATTCTTCAGAAGGTTTGAACAAACCTGCAGACAGCTGATAAACGATGACTGGATTTTCTCATGTGTTTGACAGTATTTTATCTCTGTATGTACAGTAAAAATGCACATAAAACTAGTGAAGTGAATTTACAGTGCAAGCTGGTTTTTAATTATATTACAAGTGTTTGAACACATGACTGGTTAAATGTATACGATTTAAACTTGAGATTTGTGTGCAAGGACGTTGAACAAATATTTGGCTCCGCTATGAATATTTTGGCCCTTTGACCCCATCAGAGAAATCCTAGATCAGCCACTGACTTCAACAGTTAAACAAAAAGGTTTCACAAAGCCTTTTTATTTTGTTGATTTTAAATCACAGGACTTTGTTTAAAGTTTGATTAAGAGCGTGTCATGATGCATTGATAAAGTGTTTGAGCAGAATGAAGCCCTCTGAGGGTTAGGTGAGGTACCTGGAGATTTCCACTCGTTCTGTAGAACCTGAGAACCTTCATAGTGCTGAACATTTACTTACTTATACAGTAAACAGGAAGCCTTCTCCCCTTGTTGCTTGTAATACAGCGCGATGCCGTCATCCCCGCCGTGCTTCTTGCGCATTCTGTCCACGTCCAGCCTCCACCCCTGGGTGTTGTACTGATACACGGCGGAGCAGCTCACCTCCAGCTGCAGACGTGGAGACAGAACTCGCTCCACTTTCTCTTCCACCGTGCGTTCACACCAGTGTCTGTTACACGACACAGAAATTCTCATTTGACACAGCAACCACTGTCCATCCTCTCTCCTGAACTAAAGCAAAATAAGAAAAACAACTCAGAGCATCTTCAGCCTCTTTTTGCCATTTTATTTTGAAAGGACTATAAAGTGGAAACTGTGATCACAGGTGAGCTCAGAGGTTAAAAATAAAGCTTACAGCTGTAAACTTCACCAAGCTAAAAGCTTCTATTTCATTCAAGTGTTTTTCAGCTTCAGGTGGAATAAAATTTAATTCACCAGAAGTCTTAACTCCAACCATATGGACCCCGTCATTTGTAATAAAGTGTTCATAAAATTGCTAAAAGGCTTTTTCAGTTTTTAAACGTTTGTTGCTGAGCTGAAACTTGTTAAAAATTATCTAAGAGGAAATGAAATCATGAGAAGCTGAAGTTATTGTGAGCTGGTTTTATATTTGTAGAAGTGGGTGGTAGGTGTGGGGTTAGTGGAGCCAGATCCAACAGTGAAACAGAAAAATAATAATAAAAAAAATATACATATATTAAAATAAATAAACGTAAAGTGGTTTTGCTTAAAATGCCCACACCAAATATATAACAAAAATATGATTACTGAGAGTTTTTAGTAAGAGGTAAAATATTTGCAACAACTATTTCCAAGTAATAAAAGTAAATTATTCAGTAAATTATTAAGCTGATCTATTGTTGGATCAGTTCACCTGAGTAAACTACAACAGGTTTAATTGTTTTCATCTTCCTTGATGGCTAAGTTTACTAAATATTCTAAATCAATCATCACTGAGTAATACTCACCCTGCTTCTGTCCCAGCTAGTAAACCGAGGAAAATCAGAAATAATATTCCCATAATTCTCTGCTCCAGATCTGTTCTGTAAAAAAGTTTAAACATGTTTTTGTTCTTTAGTTTTCATTCGTTTGATTCTGATTGAACAGATTGTAAACTGTTTGGTTGTTGCTTCTTGAGTCAAAATTCCGAGTTCACATTAAATTATTAAAGATATCTGGTTTAATCCTCACCTCTGTTGTGATTTGGGGGGGGGGATGTTATAAATATTCCTTTTGGTTTTGAGCGGTATTTCCTGGTTTTGTCTTGTTGTTTGTCTTTTCTCACCCCTTCCCTGTGCTGGGCAGTAGCACCTCTGAGCTTATTTCATGGAAGTGCTGGATGTGAAGGTGTTGGGTTTTAAATGCGGAGCTGACTCACGGCATTCGGATCTGTTGCCATTGGATATAAGAGGTAAGGTAACAGCTGAGAAGGCAAACATTGGTTACCGGGCCTGTGACCTAAACAGGCTCCCAATCTGAACCGTCAAACCTCACTGGTGTTGGTGCGGTGCTGGAGCCTCAGCTACAGACAAAAGCCATGTTTATCTGAGCCTAATCCTGTAAAGGCAGGCATTTCGGGAAGGATGATGAGGACATTTATCCAATGAGACGTGAAGGCTCAAAGCTTTTATACTCCCCAATTTCCCAAGTCTGACCTCCTACATGAGAGAAAGGAGGCTCAAACACAGCTGTTACCACAGAATAGTAAAGAACCTGGAGAAAAGAAGATATAATGAAACAGGAAACAGTGTGTCATAACTGATGAATTACTTCACACAAATGCACACAAATCAAATTACTTTGTATCTTAGAGATAACTCTGATTTAGGTTGCTGTGTTTGCTTTTCATCATTTCTCAGAAGTTGGAGTGAATCTGAAACCAAATGTAGGAGTTTCAGTAAAGTCTAATTAACCCTAAACCCACTGTAAGTAAGTAAAGTTAACAAATGTTTATTCAGCACTTTTCACAGACATCACAAAGTGCTTCACAGGGAGCAAAACTAAAATAAATACAAACATACTATATGAGCATGAAAGCTTACAATAAAACAAGTTTATGCCACTAATAAAACACTAAATAATACATTTAGCTAAAAGCTTGTCTCAACACGGTCGCTTCTTAAAGCAGAGTCAGCTTCACAGAGACACAGGGGCAGGGTGGTCCACATTCTAGGGGCTCTTGCTTGAAAGAACAGGTCTCCTCGAGTCTTAAACCTGGTTTTAAGAACCTTCAGGAGATTTTGGCCTGAAAACCAAAGATTGTGACCAGAAGGAGTCAACATTTGTAATATAGTGAGGGGCCTCTCCATTAAGGAAGGAAGGAAGGAAGGAAGGAAGGAAGGAAGGAAACACAAGAATACAGAAACTATTTTGCAACACAAGAAGTATGGGTCATTTTAGCCACTTGTTTAAAAAGGAGTGAAAAGTTAATCCAAAACAATCGATACACATAAAAGGTTGTACAATCACAAATCACTTCACAACAGTAAAAGCAAGATAAAAGTTAAGACCATAAACTGAAAATAGTATTAACATCATATGCTTGAAAAGTACAAGTAAAACAGGTATAACGTACACATCAAACACTCTAAAGCAGTGGTTCCCAAACTTTTTATCTTCTGACCCATAAAATATTCATGGCAAAAACGTGTGGCCCCGAATATTACTGGTCTGAGAACATGAGCTTTGTTGATAACCCTCAAAACACAGGCTTTTTGACAATCTAAACAGCTTATACACAAATACTTTTTTTTTTACTTATTTTGTGTTTTTGTAATGATTACAGGGAAAATATTGCATCAGCAATTATTTTATTACCCTTTAAATTGATTTCTGGAGATTATCCAAGGTGCTTCATGACCCATAATTGGGTCCCAAGCCCAACTTTGGGGACCAAAGTGCAGTGGTTCCCAAACTTTTCAGCTTTTGACCCACAACATAGTACAAAACAGTAGCAGAGACCTGAGCCCCTAACTATTGATGGATGATAAACATTTGTATCAGGTCAACTAAACATGGGCATAGTAACAATATTTTTTATACTACATTTATCCATTTTAAATATACTAACCTCACTCCTTTGTAACAACTAAGGCAAAAATGTCATTAATTCAGAAAAAAATTTCAGGACCCCACCTTGATGTTTTGGGACCCCACTTTGGGTCCTGACCCCAACTTTGGGAAACACTGCTCTAAAAGACTAAAAATAGTCTTCAGATGTTTTTTAAAAGTATCATTAGAATCAAGGCTGTGGACAGATGGGGGCAGTGAATTCTAAAGTCAGGGTGCGTCTGCTTGGAACAACCTCTGACCTGATGACCTCGACCTGTCCGACTGCAGCTGTATCAAACCAGAGATGTAAGAAGGAGACTGTTCATGTGAAACTCTAATAGTTTAAACTAGACTTTTTTAATGAGTTCTAAAGTGAAGTTGGAGCCAGTGAAGAGAAGCTAAAACAGACACAATGTGAGCTTGTTTCTGTCTGTGATAACGTAGCAGCCGAGTTCTGGACGAGCTGAAGACAGTCCAGCTCCTTCTTGTTTAAGCATGTGACTAAACTTACTATAATCCAAGCGAGAAGAAAAGAAAGCATGAAGAATGAGGTGGAAATATTTATTAAAAGGCGGAAACACATGAATAAATGCACTCCGTGAGTGGTCATCGAATGATTTAAGAAAGGTTTGCAGTTGCAAAGCTGAGCAGCAGCGTGACCAAATCCGAATCACAGAGCTGGGCCCACTGCTACTGCTGAACAGACACACAGAAATGGTTTTTACATACAGGCGGAGCATTGAACAGCCACATGACAGCATGACAGGTCTCACTGTGCCTCTAAAACAGGACAAGGACGTTCTGTCATCAGGGGTGTCTTTGAAATCAGAAGGACAGATTATGACAAATCGTAGCAGTTATCTAAAAGATAGGGATGTCAGGACAATATGAACTTAGTAATCAGATAAATTATGATAATGATATGATATTAATAATGGTGTTGTGGTGGGTGGAAATAAAGTAGCACTTCTCATGTTGGATTTTTAAAAATGTGTAATTTTACACAACACTGTAAATTCTGAGTCGGAGAAAAGATACAAAGAGCAGAAGACATGATTCCATATGGGAGATTATGGGTTTTTACTGTGAGTTGAAATGTTTTCAGATTGTATTTTAAGATAAACGTCTGTAATGGTTAACTCAAATTTGTACTTTTCACTTGAGCCTGATAAAGAACAATGCAGGGACAAAGTTCACTCTTGTTATGATTAACACAAGTTATAAAAAAGCCCTCATGCTCAACAAAACATAGTTTTTTTAAAGAAAGGAACTAAAAGGCAGATTCACACACACCTGCTCTGAATGCAGTATTGGTGCAAAGAAGAGACTTTTTTCACATAAAGGTCTGAGAAGTGGATTGTGTTTCTGTAAATGTGAAGATTGTTTGTTACAAAAAAAAACCTCATAAAACTTTAACTGTAGTTTGCACCAGTGTTTCCTATCTGCACGTAGTCTAACACTGTTTCATCTTCAGTTTTTCATATAAAATAAACCTTTGTTTTCCTGTATACCCTGTACTACATTGTATTATACATTTTATTTGCAACCCTATCTTGTTTTAACTGAGCTTTTTTGAAAAAAAAATATACAAGCAAAGCAGAGTCATTCACAAGGTTTGTCTAAAAGGGCTAAAACTCTCATTTCTCACCACAAGATTATCATCGTCTAAAACTTTTGCATTGAATTCATTGGGCAACCTGCATTCTTTGAAGATTCAATTTGATTTATTTATTTGCAAGGGGACAGTGCAACTTAATGAAACACATGACAATTTGCAAGTTCAAATAAAACAGAATAAAAGGCTGTTTTTCATCTGAAGTCCCCTGGCCATGATGTCTAAAAACACAATCAAATACAAGAATATAAATACAACATATGCACAATTATTAAGGACAAGAAATTAGACTGAACAAATCCAGACACACTAAGATAAAAATAAAAGTGCTGCTAAAATAAAAATAACACAATACATACATACAATAATAAACAAGTATACAATACAGCACATCAAATACAGTTTTGTGTTGACAGGTGTTTGAATCAACAAGGCATTTTCAGTTAAAGTTTTGTTGTCAGTTGTCTGATTCTATCTGGTAGAAAGAAAATGCTAACTTTTAAATTTAATCAGTTCAACCTCATATTTTTTATTTATTTATTTATTTATTTATTTGTACTGGGAGAAATTGTGCATTGTTCCAACGTACAAGGCCTAATTATGTGCAGGAATCCGGTTCAGCTTCAGATGTGAATGTGTTTTTGCACGTGTAAAAAATGAGCAGTACTTCAGGCCTGGACCAAAGGCGCAGGGAGTCAGATCACTAGCAACTGGCCCAGTTTTTCCTCAAAACACAGAAGCTTTTAACAATATTCTTCAGGACTTAGCCTTCCTGGAAATGACATCATCGAAGACGGAGATGTGACGTCATTTATCCAGGTGACCCAGTTCACAAACAAGGAAGTCTGACAACTAAAAGTATGTCTAAAGTAAATATGTCTGATTGTGTTGAATCGGTGAGAGTTGTAGCTTAATCACAGTATTCTAACTATTCTATGAGTACAAAAACTGTTTATAAAAATATTCTGAGCCTCTCAAATATAAATATGTACAAATGAAGTGCATTTTAGACTCAATATGAATCAATGTCTTACATTACTGTGCTTCTTCAAAAGACTTGTTGTCGAAAGGACTGCGCTTTTATTGCCTTGTGAAAGACCGCTGATTAGTTTATCACCTTTACCACCATGTGTTGGCCAATCAGCACATCTCTGCGAAGTAGGACATATAAATACAAGAAGCAGCAATGAATTAGTTTGTGTTGGTATGAACACTGACGGCTGAAGCTGAACGACTGAATTAATCCATCTTTTTGAAGCATTGGAGGCAAAAGACAACTGCAGGTACAGTAGATTTGTCTTTTCGTTGTTTATAAACTCACTGCATTTCTTTAACCTGCTACACAAAACCAAAACACTGATTCATTAGGACATTTTATGTTAAATTAAAATGGGTTGTTTCTCCTTTAGAGTGGCTGCTTTTTGATTAGAAATATTTTCTTTGAAATGGCTCTAAACTGGACTTTAAAGGGCCAATATTATGTGTTTCTCAGGCATATATTCTATAACAATGAAAAGCATTTTGTTGTTGCAACTTATTATCTTACAAAAGTGTGCAAGTTTTAGGAAATGTTGGTTTACTTTCTGAAAATTGCAAGGTTGTGATTGATACCAACCAAGTATGAGTACCCACATTCTGTTCACTTATTTATATTAATCTCGATGCATTAAACTATCCAAAGTCTGAACATTAATTTTATATAATATATGTAAAATTTACTACATGTACAGTATGTACATTTCTTACACAATAAGCTAAATACTGCACTTGGAGCTATTATTTTGAATGTGAACACAGACAATAAAGAGTATTGTTATATTATTCAATGGGGAAAAAATGGAAAAGAAAAACTTTCCTCTCATTAGTTTCGGCACATCTCTCTGAAAGTCACACCACAGTGTTTCATTAAGGTCTGGACTTTGACTTGACCATTGCAACAGCTTCATTCTGTTCTTTTCATTTTTTTTCTGTTGTAGATTTATTGCTGAGTTTGGTATCATTGTCTCATCACACCACTCAGTTGGGGTCATACTGGAGCTATCGATGTTCAATGCCCTTTGGACAGATACGAGTAAAGGAGAGGTTTTTCTTCATGATTGGAGAAAAGCAAGCAGCATATCAGCACAGCTTTGAGTGTGCTGTGCAGACATAGAATCTGGGCACCTTGCAATCACTGATTCAACCATGAACTCCACCAAAGTATCCCAGAGTCAGTGTGAGGGTTAGGACTGGACTTAATTGTGTCATGATGCATCGAGACAATGATACCAAACACAGTGCCGGGAAATCTACAGTTGCACATCAAAATGGTTTAAATTATTTTAATTTGTTGCAATGGTGTAGTTAAAGTCCAGATCTCAGCTTGACTGAAAAACTGTGGAACCTTTGTGAAGCTGTGCTGAAACATTCACTTTTACACCTTTATGACACAGGTGTCAAACTCCAGTTTTCGGGCGCTACTATCCTGCATGTTTTCCTTGTTCCTCTGCTCCAACACACCTGAATCGGTGACTAAATAACCTCTTCAAGTACAGAAGCCAGTTAATCACCCATTCTAGTGATGTGTCATGCTTTGTGGTGAATTAGAAGAGCAGACTCTCATCAAGTGAAGCTGGATCCCCAAATTTCTTTCCTTTCACTGGCTTTGTGACCAATCAAATGATGTAGGACATGGATGGACAAACTGAGTCCTCTTGAGTTGTTATTCTGCATGTTTTACTTGTTCCTCTGCCCGACACCTGACCTGACTGAATGGATGATCAATCATCTTCTGCAGAACTTGAAAAAGTAATACAGTTACTGAGTTAGGTGTGTTGGAGCAGAGAAACAAATAAAACATTATAAAAACAGAGAGGGCGGCAGACGTGACAATCGGGAACTTCTGTCCAACCCCTCCAAGGTCCAGTATCTGTTTAATAAAAAATAAATAAAAGTTTGATGCAAATATTTAATAAAATAAGAACACCTGGTTTTGTAACAACAAATACACAAAATTGGGCAATTACAAGCCTTCTCATAAAAACACTAAATGTGAAAGGGTTTATCATCAAACAAAGCATTTATATTTGCCAGGTAAAGCTGAAAAATGAGGCTACAGATGATAATAAGCTATGAGTTGTTTGGCAGCAGAAAGAACCGACTCTTCCCTGGGAGCCGGACAAAGGTTGTCTCTCTGAAAAGAGCCAAACCTCCCACCACTAACCCATTCATCCATATCAGGTGAACTGGACCAGAGAAACCTCTAAAACATGCAGGGCTGAGTCCTTCCAGGACCAGAGTTTGGCACCTGTGCATTATGTAAGGTTGAAAAGAACAAGCTAAAGTTCCAAACAACTAAACTAAAGTCCAAAAACCATCACTGAGAGGTATGACTGTAAAAAAAAAAAACTTAATATTCTCACTGATAAGAACATTTGAGCCAAAGGGAAGGGGGGGCAGTGTTTAACCTCCAATCTTATAACTTGAAAGCAATATCTTTACCACAGGGTTACAGCTGTCCCTACTATCTTTATGGGAGACTAATAAAATAAGAAATGTAATAAAACCAAACAGAAAAAAGGGAAATGAGGAAACAGTATATCAAGCTGTAAACACTAAAAGGAATAAAGTAAAGGCTGCAGTATCGCTGGATTTTTTTATGATTTATGACTATGAGGAAAGTAAAAATGTATATTTTGATTATTCGTGCATTTAAAAGACGTACATTTTGTGAATCGTAACTGATTTAAAACAAGAAAAGTTTAAGCTGATTTAATACATGGAAACAAAAACAGTTATGTGTCTCTTTATGTAAACATTTGATGTCAACTCTATCCTATTTTCCATTGTTCAGCAAATTCCTACAAAGAAATGACTTTTTTTTTCTATATTTCAGCCATGAGGCTTTTCTTCGTGCTGCAGATGCTCTGTTTGGCTGGTTACCATGCTTCCAGATCCAGAGACTGGGCTCATCACGGCGCCCCTATATTTGCTGATCTTACAGTACGTGAGATGAGAGCTGTCCGAGCCTACCTGCACGGTATTCCAGAGATGGAGCTCACCGATGCTCGAAGCAAAACTCTGAAGAAGAATAGCATCCTGCTGATAGAACTCCACCTGCCAAAGAAACACGAGGCCTTGAAAGCACTAGACTCTGGACACGCCAGACCCCCTCGTCAAGCCCGTGCGGTCATCCTGTACGGGAACCAGACCAAACCCAACATCACTGAGTACATTGTGGGTTCTCTGCCATCCCCGACATATCATAAAATCAAAAGTTTTAAGAGTGGGAAACCTATTCAGTTTGAGTCACGACCAATCACTTCTGTAGAGTATGACCATATTGACAACATCCTCAAGAAGATCTCAACTACAGCTCACAAGGTGCTTTTTGAGGTGACAGACGGGTATTCCTACACCAACTGTTCTGACCGCTGCCTTACTTTCTCAGACATTGCTCCCCGTGGGCTGGCTTCAGGCGAGCGGAGGTCATGGATTATGTTGCAGAAGTTTATAGAGGGTTATTTCATTCACCCAATTGGATTCGAAGTGCTGATCAATCACCAGGATCTAGACCCAGAAAAGTGGTTTGCTGAGAAAGTCTGGTTTAACAACATGTACTTTGACAGTGTTGAGGAACTAGTAGCAAAGCATGAATCAGGAGAAGTGCAAGTCACTAAACTGCCTAGTCATCATGATGATGAGCTGTTTTCCACCTACATACCCCGCGGTCACAGCAACACTCCAACAAATATTCATGGACCAAAGCTTGTTGAGCCTCAGGGCCATCGCTATTTAATAGACCGCAATTTTGTTGAATACGCTGGATGGTCTTTCGCCTACAGAGTACGCTCCTCAGCTGGGCTTCAACTGTTTGACCTTCGTTTTAATGGCGAAAGGATAGCCTACGAGATCAGTCTCCAAGAAGCTATCGCCTTCTACGCTGGCGATACTCCCGCTGCCATGCAAACAAAATACATAGACGCAGGCTGGGCTATGGGCACCTCCACTTATGAACTGGCGCCTGGCATTGACTGCCCAGAAATTGCGACCTTTGTTGACCTCCACCACTACTTCGACACGGACAAACCTGTGCTTCACAAAAATGCTCTCTGTATTTTTGAGATGACCACCGCCATGCCACTGAGGAGGCATTTCAACTCCAACTTTCAGGGAGGATACAACTTCTTTGGAGGGCTGGAGAACACTGTACTGGTGCTGAGAACCACCTCCACAGTTTACAACTATGACTACATCTGGGATTTCCTGTTCTACTTGAATGGGGTGGTGGAGGTTAAGGTCAGTGCTTCTGGATATATCCACGCCACTTTCTTTACACCTAACGGACTTCACTTTGGGACAAGGGTGAACAACTATGTACTGGGCAACCTGCACACACACCTCATTCATTATAAAGTGGACCTGGATATTGCTGGTGAGTATAATGACTATTATGATACATTTGTCTAATTCCTGAATCCTGGTCCATGATCCAAAATGAATTAATCCAGTACCAATAAATGATGATAAAGTCATAAAAAAGATTTTTGGTTGACAGACAGACTGATTTTAATGTAGGAATCTGTAGCATAAATTAAATCAAATAGTCTGGTAGTTTCAGAAAACAACTGTGGTATTAGAAAAAACTTGTAAGCCTATACATTTAAATATTTTGCTGTATTTGTTTTACACATCTGAGTGTAGCAAATATGGCCAATCACAGCATACAATCAAAACATTAAAACATAAATGTAAGTGCCTGGCCACAAATAGTTGCACTAATGTTTTGTTGAACCACTTTTACCTTTAATCACAGCATGTGTTTAAGTCCTTATATGATGAGCTAATGTAGGACGTAAAGTTTAATTTAACAAAAGTTGCATTAAAAGTTTAACAAAATTGTTGATGGGCCAATTGGATTGTAGCAGAGACTTTTCCGTCATACCCTAAAGAACCTTGACAAGGTTAAAGTTTTGGCTCTCTAATGCCTAATTCACGTGCAAAAAAAGAAAACCTTTTCTGTTTTTGTACTGTTTTTTCTTAATCTTAGTCCTAAAACCACTTGTATTGTTATCATTGGACATTGGTTATTCAGTGTATTCATGGAATCTGTCCTGATGCATCTCAGTAATCCAGGTAAAAATTCAAAAAGAAAAAAATTGTACAGGTCTTCTGGACAGGTTCTTCTCTAATGAAACGTTTCGTCTCTCCTCCAAGAGACTTCTTCAGTTTGAGAGTTTCAGGCAAAATTCAGGCTTTTGAGTCCTGCCTCCAGGTGACTGATACTCACATCACATGGCTATCATTGACACCTAATTAACACCTATTGTTAACAGGGGGTGGAGTGATACTGGCAATAACAGCACTGTAGGAGGGGGACAACTGAAAACGGAGGCCTCCACCTCTGTTTAATGATGGACGGTCTTTCTTCACAAAAATGGCTTCTTTTACTCCTCTCTCAAACCAACGTTCCTCTCTATCAAGAATGAGAACATCCTCATCTCTGAAAGAGTGACCGCTGGCCTGTAAATGAGTGAAAACTGCAGAGTTCTGGCCATTAGATGTAGCTCACCATTTTTTTTATTCATGGACTCATTTCATCTGCTGCTATTCTCAACTTTATCTATCCATCATTCTGACAAAATGGTGATTGATCAGATTAAAGTCTAAAACCCAGGTCATGTGACTTTTTACCACTGATTCACAGTCAATGTTTGTTGACCAAACTGAAATATTACTATCACTAGGTTTTATTTGTTTCCCTTTCAAAGTACAAAGCTGTTTAGTCCTGATAGTTTATTTTACCATTGGACATGCAGATTTGCTCTTACCTTAAGTATAAAACACTTTCAAGGCTTTTAATGCAAAATTTCTTTGATTATATTTTAACTAACTGCAAACATGTGTACTGATTACTGCTTCCTCTCCACGGGTTTTCATTTTCATGTAGGAGGTTGTCTTTTTTATGTTTTTATGAATTTTCTTGAATAATATTCCTACAGTTTAACATTCTAATCAATGAGAGTGTTTACAGTGGCTGCGCAGGGCGGTGGTGAGCGGACGGCTATCAGTAAAAAATTAGAACAGATCCTATTTTTGCCGGACACCGGAGCTGCGCCGGAGTCAATTTTTAAAGATTACGTTGCACCAGCAGGAAAAGAAACGAGCACAACATCCGTATTTTCAAAATAAGACACTTTTAGGTGGGATAATTCGTCGAAATACTGTCGAATTTGCAGCTATATTAATAAATACTATGGATATATTTCTACACAAATGCTGTCAGAATGTATCGTTCTGTTTGGGAAGCAGATGGAAACATGTAGCATGAAGCATATGTGTACACACCCGATACACATGGATTTTATTTTGAAATCAGAAGTTTCAGAAAGACGACAGCGAGACATTTTCAACATAGATACCAAAAGCCTTTCTATCAATGTTTTCAGCTGTGTTTGGAGTTAGTCTTTCACAGAATTAATTATTTTTTGCTGTGACTTCCACATTTGTCACTGAATTTATCGCGCGTTCTCCTTCCTGCACGTCTGTCGGACCGGAGCGGAGTGGATGCTGTATAAATTGAGACACAAATGAACAGCTGCGACCGCGCAGCGCAGCACAGCGGAGTGGAGACGCATCTAGTATAAATCCGGGGTTACAGATGCCGTCTTCTCTTCTTGAGATTTGAACAGTCATGCAGGAAAAGTCTTTCCACTAACAAACAATGGCTGGATTATCTTACATGCTGTGTGTTTGAGGGTATTTGATCTATGTACAGTAAAAATGCATTTAAAACTTGTAAGGAGAATATACATGCACGATTTTTAAAATTATGTTACAAGTGTTTGAACATGTGTGACTGGTTAAATGTATACACCTAACCAAAATCAAAGATTTGTGTACAAAGATGTTAAATAACAACTTGGCCCCTCTAAGAATATTGTGGCCCCTTGATGGCCCCTTATTCAGAAAAATCCTAGATCTGCCACTGGATGGTTAACATGTCTTTTCAGTGTTGCATGTAAGACTGAGGCAATCGATGGATTTGAAGTAGCATACCAGTTGGACTCTGGACAGTGTTAGGGCGACAGTTTTCTGGGTTTCTCTTTTTGACTTACTACCAATGTTTTTGTTTGTTATGATTCAAGTTTGAACAATCTATGTGGATGAATGGATTAGCACATTAATGTTGAAGTAAATAGTAAAAAGACAATATTATTTTTTAAGTTCATGTAGTTCATGTATCACATGTCAATTGTCTTTTGAATTTACAGGTCGAGAGAACAGCTTTGAAACAATGGAGCTAAAATACGTGAACTTTACAAATCCATGGAGTCCGAAGAATTTCATCGTTCAATCTAAGTTGCACAGGACAGAGCACAAGAGGGAGCGAGAAGCTGCTTTCCGCTTCGGCAAGAAACTTCCCCGCTACTTGCACTTTTATAACCCCAATGAGAAGAGCAAATGGGGGCACCAGAAGGGTTATCGCATTCAGTTTAACTCACATGCACTCAGTGTCCTTCCTAGAGGCTGGCAGGAGGAAAATGGCATCAGTTGGTCGAGGTAAACACACGCAAAACTCGTTGCTACTCAAAAGACAAGTAACACAGGGTGCTCTATGTTTTTATTTTGTTCATAATTTTACAGTTCAACACATTTACAATGAGCACATTGGTTATAATCTGCATCTAAGGCTTGCTTAGTTTTAGATTCTTTTGTGATTTTCAGTGTGAATGAAAACATTTCTAGAAACAGTGTTGCTTTGATGATGATACTTTTAGAAACAACAAGCAATAGATTGTTTTAGGTAAAAGAAAAATGTGGGGAAGATGTCTGATTCTTGCCTGTTGGTAATATTCAATAATAACAGTTTTACATCAACTCACATAAAGACACAATCCACATTCATGAGTCTTCCACAAGACCAGTCACAGTGCTTAAAGCTAAGCTTTATCTCTAAATGTTTGACTTGAAAGCAAGGGAAGCCAGTGGGTTTTCAAATCCCATCCAAGCTAATTTTAAAACCAACTGTGATCATATTCTGTAAACTTTGAATTATGTCTTCCAGATATCCTCTGGCTGTGACGCGCCATAAAGATAGTGAATCCACAAGCAGCAGTATTTACACTCAGAATGACCCCTGGGATCCTGTAGTATCCTTTGAGGACTACATCCGCAACAATGAAGACATAGTCAACAAGGTATAGTGTTAGTTTTCAGTTACACATCACACACTGTTGGTTATACATGACCATAGTGTGATAATGTAATGTCAGAAGGCAAATGTCAAATGAGTCATTTGGAGTCAAAACTGTCTTTCTTATTTATCCTAAAACATGTTGACCACAATTGTGAACTTGACATTTAGTTTTAGTATCAAACTTTGTGACACTGGAGTGTAAGGACCCTGCGAGGGGACATGGGGGGATTTTTTTTTTATTTTGCGTTCCCACAGAATACTATTGCGTTACCTCGCAAACGTTACATTCCCTTGCAATATTGTTTTGCATTCCCACGCAAAAGTTTAAAGTAGTAGGCTAACTCGCTAATGGTGAGCATGTGAATTTGTAAATAAACCTGCAGGCACAACAGTGAGAAACGACCATTGAGAGGGAACACAAAAGGTATTGCGAGGGAACCCAATACTACACTCTAAAAATGAAATGTTGGATTTACTTAACAATGTTATGTGACCTGGTTCCACTTAACTGAGTTGAGTAAATTCAAAGCAACATACTCATGTTGCTTTGATTAAAAAACTGGTATATTGCTTTGAATTTACTCAACTCAGTTAAGTGGAACCAGGTAACATAATATGGTTAAGTAAATCCAACATTTCATTTTTTACAGTGTATTGCATCTGAACACAAAATAAAAAAATTCTGTCCATGCAATTTATTATTTTTTTACGGGATTAAAGTTTATCATTACTTTTTTTCCATAATATTTAGAGAATGAACTTGTATTATTGCGAGAATGAAGTCAAAATCTTACAAGACATCCATATTCTATTCTGGATTTTTTTTACTCCTCATTTTCCTCAAACCTGTGTTTATAAAGTAGTTTGATTATTTTTGGGTCACTGTATGCTTCCATCCACATCATGTAACGAAATCCGTCAGTGCAGCCATTAACTGCAATACAGCTTCAGTTTATCATATGAATCCATATAATCATTTGCACAATCGTTTCAAAGTCCAGCTACTCATGATAACCCCATGCTATTTTAAAAGATTAAGTATTTTTAAACCAATACCAAGTATAACTTCACAAGATGTTCCATATTTCTCATTTTAACAAAGCTGTAAGATGAAGTGTAGGAGTTCTTACAATATAACAACTTTAATCTCTTAATATTGCAACTTTATTTTCCATTAAATTATGACTTTATTCTTGTAGTATTATGACTTTATTATCATAATATTTTTCAAGTACATTTTTCTCAAGGTATTATGACTTTCATCTCATAGTTAAAAAATAAAATCTTGTAGTGTGGGCCTAATGTGTTATCTGTCCTGGCAAAAAGAGATATTAGGTAGGAAGATTAGCTTGTTGACTTTTATTAATTTATTATAAGAGGGACATCAAGCCAAACATCCCAGTGATGAGACAGATCCGAGCAGCGGAATCTGTAACTGTCAGACTGATAATTTGATCAAAGCTTATCAGTAAGACATAACACCACCACTCTTTTCATCATAACTGGGAGGATGTATCACTCAGAGATATCAAAGCATGAGCAGATATCCACTATCCAGGACAATCCTGTCCCTATTACTGAGGACATCTCAGAGAACCTACCTCTAATTTGCAAAGTGTATTTTTGTTTTTATTTCTATATCTTTTTGTTTTTTATCATGGTTGTTTAGAGAAAAAGTTAAACAAAAAGAAAAACAAAGAAGTGATGCATAATCACCTTTTACAAACAGACAGGTGTAATATACCCTGGAAGCTTCGTCAGATCTCCCATGCTCTGTAACGCTCACATTTCCTTTTATTTGCTTTTCTAGGAAGATTAAAACCCATTTCTGACCTACTGTTAAAAGAAGTAAAAAATACAGAGGTGTCAAGTAACTAAGTACAAATACTTTGTTACTTTACTGAAGTAGAAATTTTGGTTATTTATACTTTAGTGGAGTAATTATTTTTCAGTCTACTTTATACTTCTTACATTTTAATTCAATTATCTGTACTTTCTACTCCTTACTTTTTAAAAATACAAAAAGTATTTCATTTCTCTTTCACTTTGACTTGTTTTTATTCTATCTTTTCATTGTTCATAAATAAATAAATAAATAAATAAATAAATAAATAAATAAATAAATAAATAAATAAATAAATAGAAATCTATCCAGATACATGAAGCCCATGGATAGAGTGAATCTGATTGTGGTTGATGAGAAATGTAAATAAATACCAATCTGACATCCTATTGGATTGAACTCACTCCATCACACCTGTATGACACAAATCACATCACATTCCAGCAGGACATACTGTAGCAGATGTAGACTACAATGAAGATAATCATTGTGTTTTCTGAAATTTTCAGTAACAAACTGATTTAATTTCAGGATAAATAAAATCTTTTTGAGATCAGTCCAACATGTTTTTTCTTCGAAAGATCTAGAATAAAACAATATTTATTTATTTATTTAGATTTTTTTATTTTGTATAATGTGAGGGTTTTATACATTAAATAATTAAAATGTGTTGTTATTCATCAATTAGTTCAAATGATTTAAGTATTTTTTAAATTAAATGTCTTCAGATTGGCTGCTAAATATAAAGATATCTATTTTCAAATAAAAAAGCATTTACCCTGAATAGCTTTTTAAAGTGTTCATTACTTTTACCTTTATACTTTAAGTACTTTCAAAACCAGTACTTTTATACTTTTACTTGAGTAAAAAGCTTGACTTGATACATCTACTTACAAAAAAGTATTTTAAACCCTAGTATCTATACTTCTACGTAAGTAATGAATGTGAATACTTTTGACACCTCTGAAAATAAATAATCCTTGGGGGATATTTACTGTTTTGTGTGCAGGACCTGGTCGCATGGGTAACGGTGGGCTTCCTCCACGTGCCTCATTCAGAAGACATCCCCAACACGGCAACACCTGGCAATGCCGTGGGCTTCTTTCTCAGACCCTTCAACTTCTTTAACGAAGACCCCTCCGTGGCGTCCAAAAACACCGTCATTGTCCGACCCGGCAGCGACGGCAAACCCAAAGTTCAGAGATGGACCCCTGAGGTCATAGGTCATTGTGTGAGCGAGAAGCCGTTCTTCTACAATGGCACTTATGCAGGAGTGTAGAAACATTGTGATAATAAATGCTACGGTTGTCCCATGCTAATTGTACATTCATGATTTCAAACCAATTGAAATGACTTAATTTTGACAGAGCTGTCTCAGATAAATAGCTAACAAAAGGGAGACATTCTTAAAGAAAATGTATGTCAGCTATGGAAACTTGTACAGGAAGGGGGAGGCCTCTCAGCTACTGTCATCTCAATTTTTAACAGATTGTTTGTAAGAATTAACTGAGTTATTGTCATTGTTGTGTTTACTGTTTTATTAGCTGTGGTGGTCATCTTGAATCGGGTTGTCTCCAAAAGTGAATCTATGATATATATGTGATTATTTTCTGAAAGTTTCATTGAGATTCATCCCGTGGTTCATGAGATATTTTGCTAACAGAGTTGACGCCAGTAGGTATTGGTGAAGTTAATGAAACGGACTTAGTTATAGCCAGTTTTGTGTTTATGAAGTTTGTGGCATCCAAAAAGAAAAAAATATTGTGTAGGTCCTCTGGATGGTTCTTCTCTAATGAAACGTTTCGTCTCTCCTCCAAGAGACTTCTTCAGTCTGAGAGTTTCAGGCAAAATTCAGGCTTTTAAGCACTGCCTCCATGTGACTGATACTCACTTTGTGGCATCCATTTGTCCATTTTCATCCAAGTTGAACATTCAGTGATTACTTTATGTAAAGTTTCATAAAAATCTGTCAGGTGTCTCATAACATATTTTGCTGACAGTCAGACAAATAAACATTCAGACACATGCAGACAATGAAATGACTGTTCTTTTTGTTACCTCAATCAATAGAAAAAAAAAACATAATTTTTCACTAGTATGTACCAATACACACACACGCAGCCTGGCCAGTGAAGAGAGGATAATATAAGAAATGTGTGTATGTGTGTGTGTGGGGGGGGGGTCTAACTTCATGCTAGGTCTCCATGGATTAGATTTAGCGACAGCAAACATCCAGGATTCAGGACTCTCTCTATCCGCCCTACTCCATTTGAAACAATCCCCACCCCACCCCCCACCCGCCAGCTGGAATGTCTTTTTTGCTGGGGACACATCAGGCCTTGAAAAGCAAACAGCGAGATTCCGGATCCTTCCAAGCAAACACTTCAGGGTCCCGCTGGACCGGGACGTTGTCCCTGGAAACCTAACATGCAACATACAAAGTGTCAGCAGCACATATGACCATCTTACGCTTTATGTTTGCATTGCTACCCTTCCAGTTTCAACAAATAAAAAATTTTCAATCAGTTTAATTGTTAGTCCTCAATGCAGTATCAGAATTCACTTTTAAAGATTTTCCAGGCTAAAATCATCACAAATTAAGCTGTTTTGGTTAAATTAATGTTATTAATGTTATGGACAATCCCTTTCGTACATCAAAATGTCACCTCAAAGTATGTGTTGTGAATGACTCTCAGCTACTACCACATCAAATTTGAGCTTAATATCTGTAAAAGTGACCAAAATGCACATTTTTGTATTGACTTGTGTCACTTAATTATGATCGACCTACATTTGGTTCACTGCAACAGTTAATAAGCTCTAGATGTCCAGTGGCTATTTCCTGAAAATTGCTATGTCTGTCTGAGTGTTCATGAAATATTTTGCTAACAGAAAACAGGGTTGTCTGCAACAGGCAACGTTAAAATGCAAATACCTTCCTCTATGAATAACAATTGGGGTTGTTGTTTTTTAGCCATTTTATGTTTGTAGCACTTTGAGATTTTTGTTAATGAAAAGTGCGTTACAAATTAAATTTATTATTATTATTAACATTATACTGTATATTCAAAGCAACCTCTTCTGCTCGCTTTGAAATACCTCCAAGGGTTAATTATTGTGGATCAAGACAGCACACTCATAAAAACACAAC